TATAATAGAACACATTCTGTGCCTAATGAATTAACTCCATGTAGCATTTACTTGCTCCCCAAAACTACTACTGCCTTTTGTGAAGACATGACTTGAATGTATTTTATTTACTATTGAAATTTCACTTTTGATTTTTGTAGTCAAAGATCTCCTCATTTCTGTATTCAAGAAATAGTTAATTCATTATGTTCTCATAATTAACTATGGTAATTTTGTTAATTCAGTGTTCTAGAAATTAACCATTATTTTCTGATTACATCAAATAGGTAATTGTGTTATATATTTATATATTTTTAATTTTATAGGAATGTGTGTTTTTATTTTTAAATAAAACCTTCATGTAGCTAGAAATATGGAAGTCGTGCCTTCATTTGCTTGCACATCATATTTTAAATTAAATTCTTTATATTCCTGGACCAAGTCAATATATAATATAGAGAGAATTATATAATTAAACTATATTATCTCATTTCTTTGGCTTTAGATCCATTCCCCTCTGGACTATGAGTGTGAGGAAAAGGCCAGAACATAGCTTACTAGCTAAGATTATTGATATCTAGATATTTTCTATTTTTTCTTATAAATCATCTTTATATTTTTTTCTTCCAGAAGCCCAACCTTAGTAAAAAATATACCTACCAGTTTAGGCTATGGAGCAGCTCTTAATGCTAGTTTGCAGGTAATATCATCAAGTGTACCTTTTCATTATCTTTGTATTTGAATGTTGTTTTTTTGTCATGGCTTTGTTTTTAGGTGGGATTGTGATTGTTCTTAATAGTTGGTTTATCATCTATGTATGTTGTAGTACTTAGTACTATAGAAAACACTGATTCTAATTCAAGATACTTTTGATGTGAAGAAGCAAGAAGGACACCCTGTGGCAAAATCTGGAATACTCGGTTTTCCTGCATATGCTAGATTGATGGAAGCTTTTGCAAATGCATGTGACTATGCATTAATATTTATCCAGGCTGTCATAAATGATTTCACATCATAGTGTTGGGGAACATGGTGCTTGTGGCAAAAACTTTAAAGTTTAATTATAATATATAATTTTTATGCAAAAGAGGTAAATGCCAGGACTTCTTTATTTTGAGTTAAGTTTTGGTCATTTTTAAAAAGCAAAGCAACTGCTTATATTATCTCAGAGTTTCTCACTACACACGAGAATACAGCATTTTATTATGTGGAAGGCTGAAACATGAGTAAAAAAAGTTTTCTGGGAGAACTATTCCTTTATATTTCACATAACACTCAATTTCCTTGGTATCTCTGCCACAAGTTGCCAATTAGAAATTGTGTCCTTCCTGTACATTTTATTTAAATGCTTCTAAAATATCCACATCATGATTCAAACTCCTTAAAATAAAATTTATGTTTTAAAAATTATTTTAAACAGCATTTCAAAAGTTGTTTTACACCCTCTTCATTTCACTAGGCTGCCTTGGCAGAGAGCAGTTTACCTTTGCTCAGTAACCCTGGACTGATCAACAATGCATCCAGTGGCCTACTACAGGCAGTCCATGAAGATCTCAATGGTTCCCTGGATCACATTGACAGCAATGGGAACAGCAGTCCGGGCTGCTCACCTCAGCCACATATGTAAGTGTGATTAACAGACTCCATAAAAGGAAGAGCTTATATTCATATGCTTCTAAAATTTAGTATTCTTCTAAAGTTTTGAATGATGTATAAGTAAAAAATACAAGTTTAAGTGGAGTTAAATTGCACTATGTTCATGATATGAATTTGTGTATCTAAATCAATTTTAAGACATCTTTAGAATCTCTTCAGTGTCCTATAATTATTGTAGTAACAGTTCTCTACAAATTTTTAATACAGCAAACATTCTCTTGTATGTAAAACAGTATCTAAGATGACTATATCTTATGGGTCATTATCACAGTTTGGTTTGTATGGTGCAGTAAGAATATATATGATGGAGTAAGTTGGCATAATTTTTACTACTATTAAAGGTCTCTAAACCATTTATGGACTATGGTCAAGATATTGCCCATTTTTATAAACCATAAAACACAAAATTTAACTATTTCCCACAGTTTACATAGAAACAGTAAAGTGTAACTTTTTGACTGTCATATTAATCAGTGTAATTACATATTCAACTTTAATTACTGGTGTGTCTGTATTGGCAAGGTTTATATGTTATATTTTATGCAAGACTGCGATTCCTATTAATATTTAGCAGCTAACTATATCATTAATTACTCTAAAATCTTTCCCCTACCATCTTTTTAATGGAGCAGAGAGAGTAGATATATTAAAAATTTAATGTATTGTGAATTTCAGAAATGTGTATTAAAAATGTGTTTTAAAAATGCCTGGCCTCATTCAATAGGCCAAGCATATCAGTTTCTTGTTTACTAAAAAGTACTGACTCTGGGAGAACATAGAATTCAAGGGGGAAAAAAATAGGATCTGAATAATGAAGTGTAAACACCATCCAGTTGTTAGATTGAATTATAACTTACGTCTATACGTACTTCCTAAAGTTAAATGTCATATACTTCCAATTTTAAGTTACTAATGGAAGCATATTACTTTCTCTCATTTTTATATTGTCTTCCCCTATCTTTGAATTACATATCTAGTCAAAGACGTGAAAGAGAAATGTGGTTCTTTCATTTGTGCCTACTTTCATTTGACCTTTCACAAAATATAATTTTTGTTTACTATTTAAATATCTTATTCTACTTGACATACTAATGTCTTTAAGATCATGTACATAATGGCCTTATAGCACTTTTACTCTATCACCTTTTTGAAAAACACACTGTGAATATTAATGTGTTTCATCAGGTTCCAAACCATGACTTTTTCAAAATGGAAAAAATTTTTCTTTTGGAAGTGTCTTTAGATGTATTAAATAATACAAAAGAAGTAATAAAACCAGAAGTAGAAAGAACGTGAATATATGTTCTTGAGAGCAGCAGTACAATAAAACAAGGAAAGTGAAAAATTAGACAAGAGTTTTACATTCTTGCTGTATCCTATAGCCAGGCAGAGGGTAGCTGATGCCTTGTACTTTCAGCAGTTCTCCTAAGTATACTGATGCTCACTCCCTGTATAAAATGTGTAAAACAGTAAAATTTTAAAGAGCAAATAAGAGTTGGGGCTTGTTTTCCTCTTTTAAAATCTGACCTATTTTAGAGAAATGACATTCATAATAAAAGTATTTAAGCTGTTGATGCAACTCCCTGCTGCTAATATTTACTATATAGTTGTTGTTACAGACCATAGATAGAGGATAGGTATAAAGAAATATTTTTAATGTGTTAGTATTAAAATAAAAAATCAATGATTCAATAAAATAGGTTATTAAACATTATATTTTTAGAACCTAAAATATTAGGCTAAATTATGGCATTATTAGATTTGTAGTATTTTTCATTTGACAATTACTATTTTAGGGTCTTCATTTTATAAATTTAGCTACAGTATAATTGTGGAATATCTCAGACCAAAAAATACTATATTTAATACAATATATAAAATTGTGTATTTAATGCCAGATTTACTGTTACTATGGCTTTATAAAATTAAAAAATGTTGAGTCAATATATTGTATATTTTATGCACATATGAATTAGTGCCTGTAAAAATATTTATATGTATTTTCCTCAAAGAGATAAAAGGAAAGTTTCCCTCAGCTTGTTGAAAATAGATTTCAGAAAAGATTAAAATTAGAGGATGATCAAATCTTGTCTTTTTCTAATTTATCTAAATTATAATAAAAATTTTAATTATCATGCAAAATATTGTGTTGACATTCATTCTTTGAATCTGTATCTGCTGTTACCATTAACTTTTTGTATATAAGATGTCAAATATTGTTGATAGAATGTTATTTCAGTATTTTGTATTTTCATCTTGATAGAATTTTTAGATCCTTGTACATAAAAAATGTTATGCATTTTATGTACATTATGAGGCAAAGAAAAAATACTATCTATTTCTCTCAATCAAAATTTGGCTGCATATAATTTAATGCACTTCAAAGTATTTTGAAAATTAAACAGAAATGAAGGAATTTTTATGAACCATTTAAATAGCATACTTATATATCCTGAAATGAAGTCATGGTACTTGTTATCATTGTTTTGGAGGGGGATAGTTATGCTGATGCAATTAGAAACTAGAAACAGAAAACCCTGATGGTTTCAACAGTATATGGACTCTAGAGAAAGATTGCAGCAGTTCTAATCCCAAATTTAGCATTTATTAGCCGAATAAAATTCATTTTCCCTCAGTTTTCTCAGCTGAAAATGAGGTAAGTAATAATACCTACCTCATAGGATACTGGCAAATGAAATGACTGCCTGAAGCATAATAATTGCTCTGTGTGTTCCTCATAGTGCTGTGTACACATTAACTGGCTTATATTACCTCTTTTGATACCTAATTGCTATTGTAAATGAGACTATAAATAATATTAAAATATTCCCCATTTTAATACATTTTTTAGGTACTTCATAAACCTGTGTTGTTTTCTTGACACTCATACCTCTTTTCCTCCCACCTCTTCTTATAATTTATGAAATAAGGTTTGTGAGTTTAAACAATATGAGGCCAGAATTTATGGTAACCATCAGCTAGGGTCAGTGGGATAAGAGATTTTTTTTTTTATAAAATGATGTCATCTGAGGTTGTAGATAATGAACAATTTAAAAAGAAAAAATAACATCAACCTAGAACAGGAACTCATATGTGCCTAGAAAACATTGATTATTAGTTTTGATAATAATTTAGAGTTTAAAAAGTAACAGAGAATTTAGAATATATAAAGTGGGACCAGACTGTGGCATATCTTAAATATCAAGTTATGACTTTTATTTTACTCATTATGGAGCCTGCTAATGTTAAAGGCTTGAGTTTCACAGTATCAGAACTGTGCTTTAGATAATCTAAAAATATATTGAATAGTTCATGTATGGTAGGATATGTGTAGTTGAAAGAGATTGGAAGCAGAAGTAATTCTTGCAGTATGTAGTATCTGATTTAAGTTCAAGACTGGGAGTGAAGAGCAGGAACTGATACAAGAAGTGCTGTAAAAAGAAATACCAGAACAAGGCAACTGACTGAATATTGGGGACAAAGAAGAAAAGAAGGACAAGTCATAGCAACTTTAAAACTCACAAAGAGCAATAATGGATACAAGAGAGGAGAGGCTCAAAAGGGAAAGTGATGGGTTTAGCATTTATTTGCTGAATCCAGTAACATAGATGTCCTTAAGATTCAGGACAAAACAAAACTGAAATTATTATTTTTTTAAGTCTTTTCACTCAACTCTGAAATGGTAAAACCATATATATTAGAATATAGAAGTATTCTTGAGATTAGTGGAGAAGATGTTTTGAAGCTTTAGAAGAATAGAATACCTATGGGTTAGTGCTTCTTATAAATTATCTTTGAAAAACAAAAGATGCCAAATTATCATCCATAGTCTTCATTTTGATGCTCCATATTTAATACTTTCCTTCCGTTCCAACTTCTATTCTTGTAGTGCCCTGAACAAAGGCTTTTGCCAAACTAGTGTATTTGTTTTGCCTTAACTACTTGTCTTTCTGTCCTTTTCTTTTTTGCTTTTCATCTTCTTTCTCTCACCCAAATTCCATCTTTCCTTGAGAGCCTAGTCCTATTTTTCTATTTTTCTAGTATCCTTTTTCAAGTAATTTTGCTGACCCACACTCTACTTCTGAAGGGCTTACTCCTTGTACCATTATCTGGAACTAGCTCACTGTGTATATGACCATGTGTGCATGATCATTTTGCACATATCCCGAATTTAACAGAGATTATATTTTAGATATGTTTTAGTATATAAGTCCCTAACACATTATACAATATGAAGTAAGCACTCAATGCCCATCTGATAGTGAATAGGAAGACTTAAGTGGAAGGTGACAGTTTAGCTTGAAATGGATTGATTTCACAAAGAAATATCTACAAGAGTAAAATCCAAGATTGTATTAGAACCCTGAAGAAGAGGGGGAACTAGATATTTTAGGAAGAAGAGATAAATAAATATAGTGTTCATCTTTATGAGGGAGCAAAGAAATCTTTCTAAATATTGGTAATGTACACTTGTTAAATTTTACTTTTAATTTTAATTATATAGTTAATATGTATTTTATAACTGTCCAAATTTATGTGAGTAAAAGTGGCAAACCTTTTCACCACATTTATGATTATCCTTCCAGACTTGTTAAATTTTATTTATCTTATTAAAGGTGAATTTAAAAAGAAACAAATACAATGAGGTCAATGCAGCATAAATCAGATGAATGTTCAAGTGGATTTTAGCAAGAAGTAGGACAAGTTAAAGCCAGGTGGAATAATATATATGTGAAACTTATTTTGACTTTTTAATAAATAATTTTTTTAAAATCTTTATTTTGTACTGCTGTTGAAAGAGTTCTAGAGCCATCATGGTCTGAACAAATACTTCCTTTAAGAGTCTGAGTTGAGTATCAGTACGATTTATAATACTATCTCTTTATGCACCTCAGTGCCAATATACCTGATTACCTGACTTTTCAGAGTTCTATAGAATATAGATAAAAATAGTTTAGATTTCTATT